TACAACGTTATTGATTGTATTCCTCGGACTATCTTTTTCTATCCCTGAGGCCATATTGCAATTACCAATTTGTATTGTCTCATCCCTTCCCCTCTCCTTCCTCCCCACCCCCTCCCAAATAACAACCCTCAGTTCTTCCTCTGTGTCTCTGAGACTATCTCCATCCACTTCTCCCATCCATTCAGTTCCTTAGAATCCACGTATAAGTGAGATCATATGATATTTGTCTTTCTCTGACTGACTTATTTCACTTAGCATAATGTTCTCTAGTTCCATCCATATTGTTGCAAAAGGTACTACTTCCTTCTTTATAGCTGAATAATACTCCATTGTGTAAATGTACCAAAGTTTCTTAATCCAGTCATCTACCGATGGGCATTTTGGTTGTTTCCAAGTCTTAGCTATTGTGAATAACGCCGTAATGAACATAGGGGTGCATATATTTTTTTGGATTAATGTCTTGGGATTTTTTGGGTAAATACCTAAGACAAAAGAAACCATCAATAAAACAAAACGGAAGCCTACTGAATGGGAGAAGATATTTGATAATGATATATCAGATAAGGGATTAATATCCCAAATATATAAAATGCTCATGGAACTCAACACCAAAAAAACAAACAACCCAATTAAAAAATGGGCAGAGGATATGAAGAGACATTTCTCCAAAGAGGACATACAGATGGCCAACAGGCATATGAAAAAATGTTCAACATCACTTAGCATTAGGGAAATGCAAATTAAAACCACAATGAGATACCACCTCACCCCGGTCAGAATGGCTATCATCAATAAATCAACAAACAACAAATGCTGGCGAGGCTGTGGGGAAAAGGGAACCCTGGTGCACTGCTGGTGGGACTGCAGGCTGGTGCAGCCATTATGGAAATCAGTATGGAGGCACCTCAAAAATCTGAAAATGGAACTACCTGTCGGATATTCTTGTACAAGGCTTTTTACGGATGTAGCATTCACCTTTTAAAAATGTATTAAGTATTTTTCTTTAATCGTACTAAATTTTCAGTTTGTGTATTGTTCTCTAAGAAGTCTAGATATATGAATGCCTGGATTTATGTAAAAGATAAATAATTTATTTCCTAAAAGAAATTTTTAGAAAAAACAAATCCACAGTAGGATTCCATTAATTAGCTTCCCTTGTTGTTTAAGTGAGTCATATTACAAACTACTGCTTGGGTATACCAGTTGGTCTACTCATTTGGAGTTTCATTCATATGGATTTTTCCCTCTTCCCCCCTTGTGTGAACACATATAATTGCCTTTACTGTAGTTATTTGCAGTTGCACTAATAGAGACCTTGTCTTTAAGAGGAAGAAAAGTATTTGGTCAAATGTATTAACCTCTCTTTTACCTGTGTTTGGGACTAGCTTTTTGAACAGTGTAAACACTCCTTGGGAATGGGGCAGGTGAACATTCTAAAACTAGGTAGTTTACAATGGTTAGAAAGTACAGTGGCCGAAAAATAATTTTTTGCTAAATGTGACATTGGAGGTGTGTATGATAAGAATATGGTGATCTTAAGTGAAAAACAGCACTGCTGAACTCCACCCCAATGCCTATGATGTTACTTTCTATAAATACTTCTTGAAACATGAGAGCTTTGATCCTGTTCCGAAAATAATGTGAGATCCTATAAATTTTCTAATTATAAATGACAGTATTTTAATTTTATTCCACTGCCCCTTCTGTGCCGCCCCGCCTTTCCCCAGCCCAAGAAAAAATGGTGTGACTAGATCACTACCAGTCATAGGATTGAATGAAAGCATGCATCATTTCTGCTTGTTGTGGGGCAAACCATGGCTGCTATTCCTCCAGAGAACGGGTGCCAAGCCAAAGCAGGCTGCTCCTTTTATTCTGCGCCGGACCAAATGATTAAAGTCACCTGTCAAAAGCTAGTCCAGTAGAAGTAGAAGTTGCTTTTCTCAAATGGGGCATAAAGTTTATTTCTTTAAGCCAATTGTTCAGAGAAAGCTCTCCGTAGAAGAGATAAGGAATTTGGAATTTAGGATTACTTACTGTGTGGTGAGTGGTTTAATATTGATTATACAGTGTATATGCATGTATGCCAACTGCGATTATAAAGATTTTGCTTTGATGTCATTTCTGACAAAAGTCTTTAATTTTTGGAGACAATAATTAGAAATGGAGTTCTCTGTAGCCAGCTCTATTCCGCACATTTAAACATTCAGAATCCACCTCTAGGTGGCAGCACCGGATACTTTTATCCTGTTGTTTTACTCCAACCTTAATGAGTTATATATAAGCAGAAAAACTTTTAAGTCTCCCGAAACTTCGAAATAAGCTGCTTATTGCCAATTTCATGAGGATTTGGAAAAATTAATTTATATGTTGAATAAGCCAAGGGTTTGTTTAAGCCTGGATTTTGACCTTAAAAAAAAGAAATTAGGGCAGCGGTGATCCTTTATTTTTTAACATGACATTATGTTTTCTTAAAAAGATTTAAGTTAGCCCTCTGTGATTTTGCCTGTTGAACTTATAATTGTCCTCCCCCAAAATCACTTTTTATGACATTTTTGTGTCCAAGTAATTTGTTCCAGGATCATTATATACCTAATATTTTAAGGTAATTACAATGTCTTCTCCCTTTATATTTAAAAAAATTTAGCATTGACTTATGACCAAGAGTACTGAGATGAAGAAGTCCCTTCTCTTGAAAAAATTCAACTTGGGAATAAATCTGAAGTAATGAGCTAGGCTAGTTGTCTTTGTGATTTTCATGGGCAGATAAGGGTTGTTTGTGGAAATGGACGTTTAAATAGACGTTTCGTAAGGCCTGATATTTTTTTCATAACTTGTGGCCACTCGTTGGGCTTTTCTCCATAAGTAGCAAGGTAGGCCAAATCCAGTGTTGGCTTACTCAGCAGGCAGCCCGCCCCTGGCCTGAGGTGCACTAAGGGGGCCTGGCTGGTGGGGAGGCCTAGAAAGATCTTTCATGGCTTCTCTAATCACAGCCCGGCCAGTTTTGTATGTACACGTGCAAAGCCAGCATTGTTTTGTTCCTTGATTTTTGTGTTGTGAAAGAAGCTTTCCATTTGGAAAACCCTGCCTTATTTTTCTTTTTCCTTACTTTTTGAATAGTAATAGTCTGAGAAATTGGTGAATAATGATGCCATCAGAGAAGAGGTGAAGCTACTTTCTCATAATTGCAAATAAAGCAAGACATTATGTGACTAAAGTTGCATTTACAACTAGAATTGAAGGAATTCGCAACAGTTAGCCTTCACTACAGAAAAGAAATGGCATCGTTCGCAGGCATGGTCTCTCACTCAATTCCACTGCCCCTCCTTGTCTTTAAATGACAGGGTATATATCCCTACACACTTGACTAATTTGCTGTTTCTCTTAGGGGATAGGGAACTTGTAAAATAAAAATGCATGTTGAATTGTGGGGCCAAGTGACCTATGTTACAGTAATTTATGTCACTAGTCAAGAACAGTTTTTTAAGTTGCTTTGAATGTGTGTTTTTTGTTCTTGTTTTTATTACATACCATCATGTTAGGAAATATTCACTTTGGTTAATTCCTACAAAGAGCAGCTATTAACTTGGCGTGAGCGGGTGCTTTATCTATTTTTCCAAATGCATAATCTTGAATGAATGTCGTCTGAATTCAGTAGTTCATCTACTATTTTATTTTCTATTCATATGACATTTATGGAGTGTTCACCACATGACAGGCACCATTGAAAACAGTTTGTCCTCTAATGTCAGATTTAAACTTCAAAAGCGCATGGTCAGGGTACTGTATCCATTTTACAGGTGAGCAAACTAAGACTCGAATCTCGGTCTTGTTCTTAGTTTAGCACCATTCCCCTGTGTCAGAGTCAGCCTCAAGTCTTTTATAATTACTAGATGTCACTTGACAATTGACCAAATAGGATTTAGCATCTTGTCACTGATTTCTGAATACATCTGTTAGATTACCTACCAGTGTAGCATTGATAGAGTCAAAACCATTTTTAGATATTTTTGGTATTTGAGCTTTTTGCTCAGTGACTGTTTTATACTACTTATTTGCCTTTATACTAAAACAAATAGGATTGCTTTCCTTAGATTTCTAAACAGCCTAGAATTCTTTGGGATTGCTAAGGGATGCTTTCAAGAAAGTATTTGAAGGTATAGTGTGGAATAATTATGTGTAAATTCAAATGGTGGATTTTGACAGATATGCTTTGACCAAGGATAAATTACATTGGTTGGCCTGAAAATGTTTCTTTTCTCAAAGAGTTTGGGGAAACAAGATAGCATAAACTATGCATCAGTTGATTTCTTGTGTCATTTTGATTGAAATATGGAAAGTATATTTGGTTTCAGGATTGTCAGGGACACTTTGGCCTATAGGATGTGTGAATGCATTTTTTTTGCACATTTTTTAAATTTCTGAATTCAGAACACTAACAAACCATGCCGCGTTTTGCCTTAGATGCTGCTACTGAATTTTAACCACTGAATTAGATTGCAACCTACATGCTGTTAACTACTGGGCCAAGATGGAATCGACCAGTGCATTGAAATCAGGGTTAGCAGTTGTGTCTGCACTTGAAGGCGTTGTAATAGCAGTGAACTTGTTTTCTTTAATGGGATTTTTATTCTCTATTTTCAGTTTTAATGGTCATACTTTGATTTTAAGAGATTTTCTTTATAGTGCACATTTACTTGAGATTTTCACTGTAACTTTAAGAAAATAGTAAAACCATTCTGTAGAAGTAGTCACTTCCAAACCCAGATGTCCACTGGCATATTTGTGCATTGTTTTAATGCTGTTTTATTTATAATCTCATAAAAAGAGAAGCCATTTGTCCAAGTGATATGAGCCTCTGTCTTGAGTTCAAATGGTTTTGTGTGTGTGTGTTAATTTAAAATCCTTCTTTTGTGAGTTTTCTTCTTTGGGGTATTTTTTGGATAAGGGAATTCAACTAATTGTATACCATGCTGAATTTGTTATTTCTTTTACATCAATAGGACTTGATCCCACCCAATTTCGAGTTCATCATTATCTTAAAGAGGAAGAGAATGATGATCTACGTGGTGGCCTAGCACAGCTCACTGATGAAGAGAAATACAGGGACTGTGAGAGATTCAAATGTCCATGCCCTGCGTGTGGAACTGAGAATATTTACGATAGTGTCTTCGAGGGTTCGGTTAGTTGTTTCTTTTTGTCTCCTTTTTCACTTTGTAAGCAAAGCAGGATAAAGGCCTTTTCTCCCCACTGTGAGTATAAAAAGGAAAAAACCGTGCACATTGCTTTTATGTGTTTAACGAATTTTAGCATCATATGAATTCTGCCTTCACAACTTACTTTATTTCTGCTTGAAAACTCTTAGTAGAATGTACTTGAATATTGTTTTTGGCTTCCTAGAGTGTGTGGCCTTGGTTTTTAAATGGAATCTCTTAAAATATCTACATTATCATAAAGTATTTTTATTGTAATTCCTTAATTAGGAACCTGTATTTCCCTACTCCCAACCCAATTTATTAAGACTCGGAGCAATATTTTTCTTTATCTTAAATCAACTTAATGGGAACTAAGTGTTTTTGGAAAATTTTTGTTTATCTTTACGCATCCCACTTGCCTCCTTTTTGACAGAGGTACTCTGATTATCTTTTCTGCTGTCTTTGCATGTCAAACATTTAAAAAGTCAAAGGGAGACATTCCTTTCAAGAAGTACAGCCAAAAAATGTATCACTGACCTTGGATCAGAACTTGAAACGTGGCCAATTTACTTGATTCCACTGCAGTGTTATACATCTACTAGCCATTGGAAATGAGTAGGCAGCAGAACCGTGTAAAACCTTGAAACTGAAAGAAAATACATCTTTTATCTAAATTAAAAGTAATTATTTTAAGTTAATTTGGACAAACAGCAGATGTTTTGAATTTTTTTGAATCAAAACAAAGCAGTCTTTGGATGCAAGTGCAAGGAAGAGGCAGACACAGATCAGCAATACTTGCTAAATCCTTGAGTTTTGCTTCATTACAGCTGTAAATAAGATAGTTAATTGCATGGAGGCTTGACGACTTGCAGATGGGCTAACTGTGGAAGAACCGATGTCAAGCTCTGAAATCTCTTCCACCTGGAATTGCTTAGTGTGGCGGGTAGGGTTATGTACCAGATTGGAGTAGGAAACCAAGATGTTTAAGTATCGAGAAGGAAAACAAATGCTCCAGAAACCCCAACAGTTTTCCTATATATTATATTTGCTTTGTCTTTGCTTAAAACAAAAGAAAACAAGACATTTTCTCTAACTACTAATAATTAATTCTTTCAACTTTCTATTCTTCTTGCCTCCCCTCCCCCAAATACATTTCATGGGGGCTGCGTTGCAGAAATTTTAGATCTGCTAGGGTGACAATAAGTGATTGCTTTGTGGTGTAACACTTAATTTTTAGGCTTTATTCTTAAAATTAAGTTGACAATATGAAAGCAAACTAATGTCATTAGTGCTCCTACTTTATCCAAGTTTGAAATGAATTAAATGTGAATTTCAAATTTTGATTAATATGTCTAAAAAGGATGTCTATTTCCAGTAACATGACTTCACTGGTATTTTCACCAGCAAATTAACTTATCCATAGAGTCTATTATATATTGAATGTTCTTTAAAAAGTGATTTTAGGGTTTTCCCTTTGACTTTGTACTCCGTTATGATGGTGGCAAAAGACAGGAAGACATGTGTGACTAAGGGGATCTTTGGGAGGAAAGCATTGAGAAAATAGGGTTAAACACTCACCAATAAAATGAATTAAGAATATTGTACACCCAGAACAACGTGTAAGTTTCTAAGCACAAGAAACCTTTTGTAACCTTTTGTGTACTCGTCTGTCTTGACATCTATAGGGAACCGATATGGAGCCCAGCTTGTATCGTTGCAGTAACATCAACTGTAAGGATTCACCCCTGAACTTTATGGTACAGCTGAACAACAAACTGATCTTGGACATTAGACGTTGCATTAAGAAATACTATGAAGTAAGTATCCATAATGAGTTTCTTACATGCACAACTTTATTTAGGTTTGGTACTTGTTTTAAAACAAAACTCTGTGGTTTTTAATTCCTGGTTTTTTATGAAACTGAAACATTTTGAAAAGACTTGGGAGGAAAATGACTTGATTTTCTTTTGGGCGTTCCATCTCTCATTAATGAGGAATATTTTAAACAGTGAAATTTTCGCTTTTAAGGAAAAATGAGAATATAAGCAGAAAATGATTTAAGTTTATTGTTACCTAATAAGTAAGTTGAAATGAAATGGTCACTCAGATGTTTGGACAGAGGACGGAAAATCAATATTGTTTATCTTTGTCAAATAGAGGCATAATATCTTGTGTGGTGATTTGAATGAATTGCCCGCTAGCTAACACTTTGTGTTTATGTGGTAATCGAAACCATTTCGTAGCTTAGTTGTCCCAGAAAATAGAACTAAACATCTTTTAAATTTAAATGCAGTTTGTCTGGCATTTTAAAGACAATGTCTAATTTTTTAAATATAGAGTAAAAATGCCAGAACAGTGAATGACCTGTTAGAAAGAAGGCTTTTTTCAAAGTTTTTGTTTTGTTTTTAGAACATTTCGTATGAATGAGTTTTTTTCTCTTCAAAAATTAAAATAGAAAACTCCACGGTTCCCATTTTATTTTTCTTACTGTTTCATTATGTCATTTGTCATCTAAGCAAAATTTCTATTACTTGAAAGTTGACTGTAACTTATTTAAAGAAGCTGCATTAGCAAGGCATTTCCAAAAATGCTCAGGTTCTATTGGCTAAGACCCACGACTCTGATCAATATTTTTCTGTAATTTCTACTTATATGTTAGTTAGCATGTAACATAACATTTTCTTCTTTAAAATGGATCTCATTCAATGAAAATTGACTATTAGATCATTAGGATGAAGAGTAAAAACAGAGTTAGAGTATTTGTGATTTTGGAGTATAATTGTGTTTATCAAAAAAAAAAACCCAAGTAGGTTTATCTGAAGATATTTTTTAAATAATAATTATGACTACATTTTGGGAAATCTGAAACATTTTAGTGAATAATACTGCACTGTACTTAATGAACAGTTGGATGGGAATAAAGCTTATCTGTGGGTTCACATTGCGCAGTAGATGAAATGTTCAGCACATGAAATGCTAGGCCTTTATTTAGCATGAAGAGCCCAAATCAAAACTATTCAGCTCCTCATTTACAGACCTCAGTGAGCAGACCATGATTCTTGGCTCTTGGGAAGAATTCCGAGTTTTCTCTCTCTGTTTAGTCTATCAAAATCTTCACCATGGAAATGTTAATACTAGAAGAAACTCATGTATTTCCTTCTATAAGAAGGAACAATCTGTTTTGACTATGTTGGGAATAGGCAGAAAAACGATCTGTATAGTCAGATGTATGCCCTAACTGAAAGATGGATTTCTAACCTTATTGTGTGTGTGTGTGATGGTGGTGGTGGTGGTAGTGGTGGTAGTAGTGGTTGCATGAGTATTTTTTAAGGTAAATAACCTAGTTTTATGGGTCTAGACATTTAACCCAAGGTTTCTATAGCATTTTGCTTCAATTGTCTGCCAGACATCTCACTGACCACAAGTAACAGTTTTCCTGTAGTTGCTGCCCACTTGATTGACTTTCCTAAGAGATTTCTAATTAAAATATCCAAATATCCAAATTGATATGACCGTCCTCAGTATTAGGGACCTATTTTTCTACTTTCTGATATTAGTCACATGCGATTAGATGGGAGAGACAGAAATCCATTAATCGTACTTTTCATGGCCCCATGCTGAACAAATGTTTCAGATAGTCTCAAGGTCAGAGCTTTTATACAGAAAGCTCATGCACCTCTAGGTTTTACTTCATTGGTAGACTGTACACTTTCCTCCTCCCCCCAGACTTAAACTAACTTTTGCAGGTAGAGGGACATGGCGTCGAGTTTCTTTTTTTATTGTTCCTCAGGTGACAGTGTTTAGAGTTAGTTCAGTGTGCTGTACCATAGTGATGGCAGTCCGGCTGGAGATGAATGCACCAAGCGGACTGGAGCAAGGATATTGGTAGTAAGTGCAGGCACACTTCGTTTTATTGCACTTCACCTTGCTGGGCTTCACAGGTGTTGTGTTTTTTACAAATTGAAGGCAAGACCCTCCACCAGCAAAAAGGTTGCAACTTATTTTATTGTGATACTTGCTTTATTGCCGTGGTCTGGAATCAAACCCACAATATCTCCAAGGTGTGCCTGTACTGAGATTGACTGTTCTCTGAAGCTAATGACCAAAGGGGTTTCCTCCTATTTTGCAAGTTAGAAAATACTACCCACTGGACATAAAAGTTGTTAGTAGACTGAGAGCAAGAGTCTCCATATTTTTTTTCATTTCAGTCTTAGAATCTCCACAGGGAAAATACAGCCTGCATTGAGAAAGGAAGGCATCTCTGTAAAGGGGCTTTAGGAAGTGGAGGAGTATGGTACTTGACCAAACATTGTAACCTGGGAAGGAACATAGTTCTAGCTCACCAAGAAATCAGGATGTCAGGAACTAGGGACAGAAGTTTACAGTCACAAAGTATACTTCTACACCACTTTTCTTTCCAAAAAGTATATCACATATTCTGTACTTTGATGTCATGAATAAATAGTACTGACTGAATAAATGTGATATAACAAACATTAAAAACTTTATGTATCTGAGACTCTATCATATAATGTTTTAATACTGGTGCTTTTAATAGGAGAGGAAATGCTTTTTTCTCTATATATACAGTAATGATTGTATCCCTTGAATTTTCATTTCCTAGAACATTTAAATTTCAGTATACATAGAAATACCAAAAGGACCAAGCAGGATATTCTAGGTATTATATTAATTTCTTTAGGAGGAAAACAACTCTAGTGCTTTATCCCGAGATTTGATGAAGCATTGAGGTAGCACAGAAAGCTCTAATTCAAAGTCGATTTTGTGCCCTGCCCCTTGTTGGTTCCTCTGTACAAAGTTAAAATTGAACTGTTAGTTTTTTGAAAATCATAAAAAGCCAGTTTAAAGACTATGTCCCTAAGCTTTTAGGGATATTTTTTGAAAGGTTCAGTTTTACAGTGAAAAATGGATATGTGTTCCCCCTCCCCTTAAATACTGCTCCAGAAAAACACACACACACACACACACACACACACACACACTGAGAGAAACACTAGCTAATCTAAATTGGGAAATGAAGAGGGCTTTTTTTAAGCATGAAAATTTCATCATCTTGTCAGCTGGCAGAATGCCTGCTGTGTGGATTCACAAAGGCTAAGAATTACACTTTCATGAAATTTTCTTCACTAACTGCCCTGGTTAATTTGAAAGATAACCCACTGTTCTAATTCATTCCTCAATTGGGCGGTGCAGGTTTTATCTTTGATCTGACAAAGCATTTGTGTTAATCGTTTTGGCCCTCCACTAGACACTCTTGGGATTGTGCTTTTACAATAAATGTGTCTGTGATAGCTCTTTAGTCTATTATACTTACAATAGATCCATAGAACTGGTAATTAATTCTCCACTGCTTTGGAAATGGGAAGAATAGGTGTAGCTCTGTCAAGTGCTGCTGGGAAGTTTGTTTAGCTGGTTCATTTTTGAAGTGTTCCCCTCAGCCATCCATGAAGCAGCCGCAGAAGAGAGTCTGAGATTGGAATGCTGCCTACCCCAAAGACTTGCTCATCAATGGGAAACCTGACCCTCTTGGTACCTGGGAGCAGGGTAGTGGGTCAGTTCCTTTCATCTCAAGTCCTGTTAGTTATAATGTACATTAAACCTTCATTTCAATACTTAAAGAGCCATCCCTTTCTAAAGGTGGATAGTCAACTAAAATATGCTCCTAAATTCTCATAGATGGCTGATGCAGGTTTTAGAGTGTTCCTACAGGGCAAAATGTATTCCTCACCAGCCTTGCAGTATTTCTAGCCACTTGTAAAGATGCATTACTCAGAGCACATCGCTGTGATTCTTAAACATAGAGATATTGCTGGCCCTCTGTAGAAAAATGAATAGTGAACAGCTAGACAGTGCCATGTGTATGCATATGATAAACGTTGATTAGTTGCAAGGACCAGAAATTGGTGGTTGAATTCCTTAGAAATTTGATATTGGTTTCACAATCTGAGAATTTTCCTGAAGTAAGCTTTCTGAGGACAGGGGCTATTCTTTCTTCAGTGTCTTGCCTGTGATCTGTGCCGCAGCCCGTTGCTCTCAGCAGTGTGTGCATTTTAACGTTTAGTAACCAAAGGAACCAACAAATTAAGGCTATGCTTTCTGGGTTTTTCTTTTTTTTTTAATTAAAGTTTATTGGGGTGACAATTGTTAGCAAAGTTACATAGGTTTCAGGTGTACAATTCTGTAATTCATCATCTATACATCACATTGTGTGCTTACCACCCACAGTCAGTTCTCCGTCCATCACCATATATTTGATCTCCTTTACCCTCATCTTCCACCCCCTCCCCCCTACCCTCTGATGGTTTTTGTTTAAATGTTTTTTGTTTTTTTTAAACAGATTTTTATTGGGGAATTGGGGGGATGGGAACAGTGATGGGGAATTGGGGGAAGGGGAACAGACAAGTTGCTGTCGTTTTGTTCTTCAGTCTAGTTGTGGAGGACGTTGCTTCACTGGCCCAAGTTGGCACCATCATTGCGCTCTTCCCGGGCGAGGCACATCAGTCGCCGGCTTCTGGATGCTGCTCACTGCGGCTGCTGGCCGCTCACGCTGGCTGCTGGCTACATACGGTAGCCCATGGCAACCCACTGCCACAGGGGCTGCAGCCTATGCCGTCGCCGGCGACTCACAGCAGCCCAGCTCCAGGTTGAGCTGTTGTTCAGCATGTTAGCTGTAGAGGGCAGTGTCACTGGCCCTCATATGTGGGATCCAAACCGGGGCCCTCTGGCGTCCCAAGCCAGCTCTTAACCATCACGTCACTCGGCCGGCCCTAAATGTTTTTTTAATACTGCTGTCATG